TGCATTCAACCAACTGAGCCACACTGGCTGGGCTACGCTTTAAACAGTTTTAAATGGTGAGTAGTAGAACAGAGTCAGGGAAGGACAGAATTATGACAGCATTGAAAAGTACTGACTTGGATGTCAGGAAAGTTTGAGTTCAGAATGCAGCTCCTATATCCACTAGTGATGTATTCTTGGGCAAATTACTTAGCTCCTAACGAGCCACCACTTCCTCATCTGTAACACGGGGAGAAAAGCACAATGTGGGGTGAAGTGTGAATAAGGTGATGCATGGAAAGGACCTAGAACAGTTCAGCGCAGAGAGGGGGCTGAGTTTCTTTTTTTTCTCTTATATGTGAATGCTCAGCATCTGCCCTGACGGGTCCACACGGGCAATGTCCTTACAGGAACAGGCTCGTGGAAGGTAAATATTGCAGTGGGAACAGTAAACAAATGGAGGGACTTTCCCATAGGGAGAGGGAATTAAGAGGAAGGGCAAGGAATCAGGCTTCTGGCTAATGTTCCAGATTTCTGTCTGATTTTAAACCATGGACTGAAATCCTCATTTTCTAGGGCCTGCTTTTGCTTCCCATGTTCTCAGGGGGCACAGAACTGGGCAGTTGTGACACGGGTACTGGGGGAAGAATTTCCTCTTGGTGGTCATACAACAGTGAAACGTGAAATGAACCCCCTGGTCCTTAATAATTGCTCAATGAAATTTTTCCTCAATAGAAGATGGGAAAGTTTATTTGAAGAAATTCAGCATTTCTGTGATGGTTGAGCCTTTGGAAACCCATCTTTTTATTGGGATTCCGATTTCCTGAATATGTCCATGTGTCACCCACCTGCTTTTCGACACAAGGGTCACAGTCTGACCATGGTCCATAATCCCCCAGGAGGCAGTTGATCGGACAAGCTTGCCAGTTACACTCTCTGGCTTCCCGTAAGACACAAAGGTGGTGACAGGAGTTCTTCAGATAGTATTCATTTATTGTTACTTGTCTGCAATAGTGAAGAAAAAACCTGCTTAGAATTAGTCTAATCACTGTGGCGCCAGCCCAATAAGGAAAATATCACTGAGAACTGACTATAGTGAATAGAAGGAAAGAAGGCTTTCATGAAAAATCATTTCATGGAACTCAGGACCAGGTAAATAATTTATGGGGCCCAAGGCAGAATAAAAAAGGGCGGATGAGACTGTTCTTATTAAAAAATTAAGAATTTAAAACAGTGACGATAGAGTATTAAGCCAAGCATGAAGTCCTTTTAAGTGTTAGGTCACTCGCTATGAAGCTGGCACCGATGGTATTCCTGGAAGAGACTGATTGGGAAAGAAAGGAAAAGAGAAAGTTCCTGAAAATTGCTTAAAGGATCTCAGTGTAATAAGTACAATGATCGAGGTGGAATCAGAGTGGTGTGGGGCCAGTCAAAGGGGAAGTGACAGGAAAGACAGGAAGTGACAGGAGAGATACATCTTGAAAAGCTCATGTGAATTCTCCCGGCAATGAAGGGAAGAGCATGTGGAGGGAAGGGCCGTGCAAAGAGGACAGGTGGAGGAGCACGGCATGTCCCCGGAGGAGCCCATGACACGGGCTGGAGAAGGGCACAGATGGGAAGAATGGGATTTATTGTTGAACTTCACTAGGTGGACGGTGAGAGAGCTACTGAGGGACTCTTCAGTAGAAGAATATTCTAAACAAATCTGTCTTTACATGCTTGGCGGATGGTTTATTGTGGAAGTCAACTGGTTATTTTTAATGAGACTCACACTATACATATGCAAAAAAGTTTTCTAAAATAAAGTTTCTAAAAAGTGTTATCATAGCTAAAGCACATTAAACACATGCCTTTCTCCCTCAAGTCATGTGAGCATCTGCAGGGAACAGAAACACCTCGTAGATTTTAAAAAAACCTACGAGGTCTGAATTGGCAAAAAGACTGAATTACTAAATGTGACACACTTTTCCTGCTTCTTGTACATGCCAACAATCAAGGTAGCAGCTAGCATTGCTGTGCAGTTAAGCTCCTGTTAGACTGTTTAATGAGCAGAAAATTCTCTGTAATTAACTCACTCACTGGTGGTGAGCAGTTATATGCTGATTGAATAAAAAGCTTGAGTAGCAATTCTAAGTAAATAGCCAACTGAAAATATTGCACAGATTCTTAATTAAATTTCTTTGAAACTCCTCAATGTTATGGAGAGAACAAGAGTAGACTTCCATTCAACCTTATGTGGAAAAGACCGCAAGTTCCTTCCAAATTCATGAGTTCTTATTCTGAGACATCTAGTTTTGTCCCATTGCTTCCTATGGCCCTTTGGATATTGCTATGTCTGCCCTTGAGGTTTCCCAGGGCACACAGCAAAGCTGCACAGCTCACACCCACCTTGATCTGGTTTGGATTCCAGTATTGCAGGTATTGGAGCAGCTGGACCACTCAGTCCATGGGAAATGATCACAGAAGCAGGCATGGCTCTTGTCAATCAGGGCACTCAGCAGGATGAAACACAAGACAGAGTGTCTGGCCATGTTCTGAGAGCCCCCAGGCCCTGAAAAGCAATGATAGAGTGCATATCAAAGACTCATCGGGGGGTAAACCTTTACAAATCATTCTGTTAGAGACTCAGATATTATCTTAGAAAACACTGGTGTCTCCTCGTCTTGCTTTAGGCAAGTTAACACATAAATTTACATGTTCATGAGTATAAATCCTATTTCTAAAGATTTTTAAGGTATATATTTCTGTGGTTACAATCCCCAGTAGGAGGACGTTTTTCTGAATTGTTAGTGGTAGGCTACAAAGCAAAGTATGTAGTATATATTTGTAACCCATTCCCATTCCAAAATGGGAATTCTTGTATAAACTTATCCTTTTCAAAACAACTGCTCATTTTGTGTGGGCAGGACCCTCAAGTACACTTCAATTTTTCCTACTTTTCTAGATCTGGGGAATGAGCTAGGACCATTCTGCTGGAAGTTCTATTCAGTTTCCGGACATCCTGGAAACCTGCTAAAGCAAGTCCCCGCTGCCCCCCCAAGAAAAACCCACAAAAAGTCTCATAGACACAGACAAAAGTATGCTGATTACCAGAGGGAAAGGGGGTGGGGGAAGTAGAAGAGAGTAAAGTGGGGATAAATGGTGATGGAAGGAGTCTTAACTTTGGATGGTAAACACACAATACAAATATAGATGATGTATTATATAATTGTACATCTGAAACCTATATAATTTTATTAACCAATGTCACCCCAATATATTCAATAAAAATAGCTAGAGAGAGAGTTCACTGTCCAATTACCTCTACCTTTAGAGCCATAGAAGTTTGAGCTGAAACAGATCTTTGAAATCTGCAGCTTAAACACCCTCATTTTATAGGTGATGAAACTGAAGCTTAAGGAGGTGCATTAACATTGAGGCTACATGACAAGTAAGAGCCCAGGACTCTTCATTCTTTGATAATATGCATCCTTCACTGAATCTGTAGTAACACTAATTATTTTGTTACTGGAGCATCTCTTGATGCCTGGAGCTCTACACCCAAACCACGAGAGGATGTATCCAGATGCGGCTGAATGTCGGAGAAAACCTTGACCAGTAGTTCCCACCCGTGTGCTGAGGATCTGGGAATTATTGAAGGGAATTTTCAAAACCATTTCTGCCCTCCCATATTGCCATGTTGATCTTTATATCTCTAACAAAACATGCAACATGATTAAATATAGAGAAAATACTGCTGCAATTAATATAGTGACTCACATTTAAAGAAATAAAATCCCCTTCACCTTGTTTCTCCACCTTAGTTTTATTATCTATAAAAAAGGAATAATATTTTTCCTTCTTCATAAGGCTTTTGTTAGGATTCAGTAAGGAAATTAATGTAAAGTGCTTAAAACAACCCTTGGCATAGGATCACTGCTCAGTATTAGCTTTTAAAATTAGTAATAATACTTACGAGTGTTGCAAATTTTGTTGTAGCTGTCAGTCATGTATTTTTCAAAACTAGGGGCTCTTTGAATTACATCAAGGATCATGTGAAGATTAAAATATGTCTGATATTAAATATTCAAAGCAATGTAGACATTAATTTGTTTTTAACTCCAATTTTTATTTTTTTTATTTATTTTTATTTTTATTTTTTTTCAGAAAGAGAAATTGAACCGTTTATTGGCCTGGGCCTGTCTCAGACATGGGGTGTGGGGGCATCTGGGGAGCTGAATAAGGGGAGACACGCCCCCGACTGGCTCCTTGCCCCCAAACAGACGCTCCCAACCTTTGCATTCACAAGAAATTATTTTGAGGCATGAGGTTTCCGTCCCCAGGTGAGCTGCAGCCCAGCTCTCACGTGGGGGCATGAGCCAGCGATTACGAAGGAGTCTGTGTGGGGCCGGACCCCTCTTTGGCAGCTTCAACACAGACATAAGGAGACAGAATAGCATTCATTCTGAGGAAACATGGGCACAGGTCGCAGACATCACACACGCACACACGAGGACACACACAGACACGGAGAGACACATAAATATGTTCGTACCGCAATGACCCTTGTCTCTATCCACAGGATTTAGCAAAGTCTTTCTGGAGCAGGGTGGGGGAGAGCCCCCACAAATGTCCTCGGCACCCCCACTCTCTGCTCCGTTCACTATAACCTGAAAGGAGGCACAGTGGAGTCAAGCTGCCCTGCCTTAGGAGAGCTGGTACCTCAGCGGGGGCTGGCGGTGGGAGTAGCCTGGGGGTGGTTGTTTTGGGGGGAAAAGTGGAAGGGTCCTGGGCTAACAGCTCCCCCAGAACTTTCTCAAGTTCCATGCTGAGCCCTCCTCAGCTCCCCAGACAGGTTTTTCCAGCCCTTGGTGATTATTTCTCTGTGCCCCAAACAGTACAACTGGCCGATGAGGTCTGAGAATGGGGTTTAGGCCCCCCCACCCGTGGTTTCCTGGCATCTCGTGGAGTAAGAGGAAAGGGAAGAAGTGGCCAAAGTACCAGCTGGTGAAATTTGGGGAAGCTGTGGATTTGGGCTTGGGCTGCCCAGACAGTAAGGGAGGAGGCCTCCAGCCCCTGGGGCACTGGTTCCAGGGAAGGGGCCTGAGGTTGCCAAGAGGTGGCAAGGTGGAGGGTCAGACAGTTGTGCAATGAAATCCTTTGTACCACGTTGTAAATTGCTCCTGCCCTGAGTTCCTCTTGAGTGCCTGCCTGCTGTCACCCAGGCTCTTTGCAGGTAACCTCAGACCTCCCCGGGGCCAGTTCTGAAGGGGTCACGCCAGTCGCCGCCCTGGCCTCCAGGCCTCTGCTGCGGCTCTTTCTTCCAACAGGTCAGTGCCTCCGCGGGCCATCCCAGGTATGAGATATTTTCCATATCACCCAGGTCTGTGGAGTGGGCCACCGTGCTTGGCAGCCCCACAGCTGTCTGTGGTCACGTGGCACCTCTCCAGGGAGCTCTCTGCCATGGCCTGGTTGTCAGCCCACACGTCCCTCAAACCACTGTGTTGCCCTCCAGCATCGTAGGCAACGTGGGCATGTGGGTGCCCCTCTCCAGTGAGCTAGAGCTACGGAGGGGCAGGAGGTGGTGATGTGGGGTCCCACCCCGCCACCTTCCGGCAGTACTGCAGGGGCCGCAGCACCTCCTCCCGCAGGTCCCGGCTATGCCACGTGTAGATGACAGGGTTGAGCAGTGAGTTGAGGGTGGCAAAAGCAAAAAAGTAGTGGGCCTTGTAGAGGATAGGGCAGGAGAGCACGGGACAGGCGTAGTCCAGGAGGAGGATGCTAAAGGCAGGCAGCCAGCACACAATGAAGACCCCTAGCACGATGGTGACTGTCCTGAGAAGGGCCAGCGTCTGTGGACCAGCCACCTCGGCATGACTAGAGCGGACCACGCAGTAGATGCGGACATACAGAACGACAATGGCCGACAGGATGACGGAGAAGATGGTGACCACGCAGAGCACGTAGTCTTTGGTGTAGAGCGGCAAAACGGTGGAACAGGTCTCGAGGTGATCCAGGCAGTTCCAACCGAGGATGGGCAGGCCCCCGAGAACCAGTGAGATGAGCCAGGAGGCCCCGATCAGCAGCAGCATGCGGCAGCTCTTGTCGCTGCCGTAGACCTTGACCTTGGCGATGGCCACATGGCGCTCAATGGCGATGGCCAGGAGGCTGAAGACAGAGGCAGAGAGTGTGATGAAAGCCGAGCCCTCGCGGGCAAACCACTGCACGGGGGTCAGGTGCACGGTGACAGAGCCCGAGAGCAAGGTATTGGCTATGAAGGCCACGCCCGCCAGCAGGTCCGAGGCGGCCAGGTTGCCCAGGAACAGGTACATGGCTGAGTGGAACTTGCTGTTCCGGGCGACGGCGATGAGCACCAGCAGGTTCTCCACCACGATGGCACAGCAGAGGATGATGATGAGGACCAAGGCCACCTGGCGGGACAGTGTCTGCGGGACGTCGAGTGTCTCCTTGGTGTAGTTATAGTGCTCCAGGACCTTGGTGGGGCTCAGGTACTCCGAGTACAGGCTGCCCATGGTGGGGCTCAGTGGCCGGCCGAGGCCATGGAGCTGTCAGAGCTGGCTAGGCGGACCGGGTCCCGGCCCTGGCCGGAGGGGCTTTGGCATCAGCGTTCCCGGGACGGCCTCGGCTGGGGCTGGGGCTGCCCGCCGGGCACTAACTCCAATTTTTAAAAATTGTTTTTATTGATTTCAGAGAGAGGAAGGGAGGAGGATAGAGAGATATAAACATCAATGATGAGAGATCAACTGCCTGCTGCATGCCTCCTACTGGGGATTGAGCCCTGGGCATGTGCCCTGACTAAGAATCGAACCATGACATCCTGGTTCATAGGCCGATGCTCATCCACTGAGCCACACCGGCCAGGTTATTTTACATTTCTTAGTTGTGATGAAAGAATATGTCAGTTAAAAAAAAATAGGGCTCGCCCTAACTGGTTTGGTTCAGTGGATAGAGCATCGGCCTGCAGACTGAAGGGTCTCAGGTTCAATTCTGACCAAGGGCATGTACCTTGGTTGCAGGCAATCCCCAGTAGGGGGTTTGCAGGAAGCAGCTGATCAATGTTTCTCTCTCATTGATGTTTTTAACTCTCTATTCCTCTCCCTTCTTCTCTGTAAAAAATCAATAAAATATAAAAAACAATAGGGCTCCTTGTTTCATAAATTTTTGTTCAAGCCAAAAGCTTGAGATCAGATATAAAAATTGTGTCTCCAATTAAAAAATGAGAACATTTCTTCTTAATATATCAGTAAGCTTTTGAATTTTCCTACAAACTCAGAGAAGAATGCTGGAATAAAAACAACCAAATTCATTGGCATATGACTAAATATGTCCTTCAATTTCAAATGGAATTTGCACAATTGAGTATCCATTGTGTGCTGCTGGGCTGTGAGTGAGAGACAAAGAAATATAATTCATGGTCACTGTCTGGGTACAGTAGACAGAGATTGGAGATGCTTCCCATGATTTTCACCTAAGCTTTTGTATCTAACTCATAGGTAAGCTGCTGTAGGCCCAGGATGTCAATGACTAAGCTGGTCTCTGCACTTGCCTGCCTACTTTAGTTCACTGGTAGAGTAGCTCGGCTTTCCTGGTTTCCCTCAGCAGCACAGAACCGGGGACAGTAGGACTAGAGTGCTCAGACAGAATTTAGGCTGTGATCAGACAGAATGGTGTGAGGCCATTCTGTCACATCAGACCTGAGCTCCAGACCGGGTGCTGGGCAGAGGGTTCAATGCGGGAAGAAAAGAGGACATCTGTAATACTTTCAACAATAAAGATAAATGTTTTAAAATCCTATATAATAAAGAGGTAATATGCAAATTAACCCTCACACCCTCACAAGATGGCTGCCTACAACCAGGCCAGCAGGGGGGTTAATGAGGGATGACCAAAGGACTGAAGAAGCAGGCTGCGTGGGGCGACCAGGCCAGCAGGGGGGGGCAGTTAGGGGCGATCAGGCCGGCACGCAGAGGCAGTGAGGGGTGATCAGGCTGTTGGGGGGGGGGGGGCAGTTAGGAGTGACCAGGCAGGCAGGCAGGTAAGAAATTAGGAGCCAGCAGTCCAGGATTGTGAGAGGGATGTCCGACTGCCGGTTTAGGCCGGAATCAGGCTTAAACCGGCAGTCGGACATCCCCCGAGGGGTCCCAGATTGGAGAGGGTGCAGGCTGGGCTGAGGGAACCCATCCCTCATGCACAAATTTCATGCACTGGGCCTCTAGTAAGTAAATAAAAGGCCCTGAGGAGCTGACAGACCACTAGACAGACCACTACCCCATCCCCAGCCCATCCCCCATTTGGGGTCTTCTTACACAGGACAGCTTCAACAAGGAAACCTACACACAGGGGGTGTCTATTGTTGCTGTTGTTTGCTTATTTGTCTTTCTTACTGGGTTTGGAAGAAATAGATTTCTTCCAGAATAATTCTCTTAACTGTACAGAAGAGAACTTCTTAAAGCACTTTGTGTGATCAGTGTGTGATTGGGAGAAGTTGAAGTACAAGAGGTTTCCAATTCTCCAACCGCAGCACCCACTATCTGTTTGAACTTCCCAAAGCTGGAAAAGTATAGGTAGATTTCATATCAGTTCTCATTGAAAGCTGCACAAAGATAAAAATAGTCTTATCTCCTCTTTGGCTATAACTGTTCTGAAGCAATTTGGAAACTGCTCTAAATTAAGATGGTATGTCAAAGCTTCTTATTTGAGCCCTGGCCGGCAGCTCAGTCATTAGAGCATTGGCTTATGCATGGATTGTGGATTCAATTCCCAGTCAAGGTCACCTATCTGGATTGCAGGTTCGATTCCCACCTCCAGTCAGGGCACATGTGGGAGGCAACCAATCGATGAGTCTCTCATATGAATGAGTCATTCTCTTTCTCCCCCTACTCCTTCCCTTCCACTCTCTCTAAAAATCAATGGAAAAAAATATCCTCACTCCTTGGATGAGGATTTAAAAAAAAGAGCTTCTTATTTGAGGAGATGCTCATAAAAGAGCTAATTGGTAGTGTCTCCTTTTTTAACATTCTGTTGTTATAACGAGAAATTACTTTATGTTAAAAATATCATTTTTATTCAAATAAAGGTAATTACGAATTTTTTTTATTTATGGCCCAGCACATAATATCCAATGCTTCCTTATTTGTTAACTTTCAACATCTCTAGGCACTTGGGGGCTATCTAAAATGATGTAAGAACATTTTACTTACCCATTACCACACAATTGTCATATAAACTCAGAACAAAAGAATGCTCAGAGGTAGAGGAAGACAGTGAGGAAAAATCTTCCACTGCAGGACCCTGGGAGAAGGGCAGCGATTCTGCAGGTTTCTCACCACTGGCATCCACTCCTGAACTCTCAGAATCTGTGATCCCACTGAATCAATGGAAATGGCTTTGTGAGCATTTAAAGAATTTTAGTGTAGCGTGAAGTCCATTTGATTTTGACCTGTTTACCCTCCCTTGACTGATTTGTCTGTAAGGCAGCTCAGTGCCTCTTACCCAACAGGTTCAGAGGATGAGCTAGTTTGCTCTCAAGTACAGCTTCTTCCTTTCCATCTCCATGTAAACTTTTAAAATCCCTTATTTCTTGTTTTTCTTTCTTCTGTGTGTACCGCAGGGGCTCGAGACATGCTATTTACCCCTGCTGGTGCAGACCCAGGAGCCCAGGCACAAGACTGATCACTCGCCAAAGGGTATGTTTGCTTTGCTTTTAATCGCAAACCACAAAGTAGTTTCTGGAAGAAAATTTCCTTAAGAAACATGAACCTTTGGTTCTTTTGATATTTAAGCAAAGTAGCTATTGCTTATGTTTTAAAAAGAAAGAGAAATGCCTACAATCTGAGTTATGTAATTTTTACACATGAAAGGATAAGTTTGTTGGAAACACAATCTACAATGTTGAAATATTAAGATTACAAATGAAATCATTATAGCACTCACCTTTAAACAGAGCTTGTGGTGGCCAGAGATCGAATCTGCAAATGCCCGAGGACACAATAGGTGCTCACAACAAAAAGGGTGGAAATGATAATCCAGACAAGCCAGCAGGAGGGAATGCGGTCACATGGCAGGGACCTAACTCACCTGCAGTGTGTTACACAAACATCCCGTGGAGACTCTGGACTTTGTAAATGATTGCTTCAGTCGGCAGTTACCTGGAAACTTAAGAGTGAGATATCCCACAGGGACCTGAATTTTCAATGGTTTTCCCAGTCAAGGGATATTGCGATAAGTATTGCTACTGCAGAGAAAAGAAATCTCTGACTCTATTTTAAAAACTCTTGAGAATATATTGCTTAAAATTTCCTTTCCCTTCTCCTTTAGGAATGTTCATTTCATTAAAATATGTATAGATTCTTACTTTTTTTCTGATTATAGAATATTTGTTGAGGGAGATTTAGAAAATATGAAAAAGTGTGAAAAGGAAAAGGAAAATCATTTTTAATAACCAGACAAAACCACTATTAATATTTGAAATAAATACTTCTGGTCATATAATGTGTAAGTGTATTGTCTCTCTATGGAAGTATACATATGAGCATATATATATTCCACAGTTTATAGAACCATATCATGATTGGCCTGTGCAAAATCTTCTATTTTATTTTATTTCACTATTTATCCCCAAGATCTTGTGTCATTTCTTTTCCCAGATTAGTTACATGTATTAACGTATTTGGTGTTTGTCCTCACATGATCATTTGGATATATGTGTATCCTTCAAAACGACAAAGTCTCATTTCCCATGTGTATTTTTTGTAATTTACAGAAATGGCATTTTGCTAAAAGTCTTCTTTGATTTCTTACTTTCTTCATTCAACATTATGGTTCTGAGCCTTAGTGGATGTAAACCTACAGGAGCATAGACATTCATCGTGCCAACCATAGTTTACTCACCTACTCTCTTAGTGTGCACTTCTCTGGCCTGCAGCTCCCGCAGCTAGAAACCCAGGGAACTCTTTCCTGTGGACCTGTGAGAAAATGTCTAAAGACTTCGGGTTGCCCTTTAGAAAACTACGTACCTTTACACTCTTACCAGCACCTATGGGGGCTTCTCACTAGCGAGTTCTTAGCAGCCTTTGCCGTTAGCCAACCTACTGATGTTATCTCATGGTAGTATCTCACGGTTATTTAAATAGCTTGTCTGTGATCAGTAGTGAACTTCAGCATCCTTTTATTGTCTCCAGACATTCTAATTTTCTATCTGTGAATTAAGAACTCACATTTCCTGATTATTTTTCTACTGTATTTCTTTACTTACTTTTGTTGTCTGATTTTCAGGTATGCCCCATACATTCTAGATACTAATGTCTTATAAACTTTGGATTTTGCAGATTTCTTCTTTTACCCATGTGTTCATTTCATCTGTGGTGTCTGTGACTAAAGAGAAAAATCTTAATTTTGATGTAATCTAATATGTTTATTTTCCTCTGATAGTTTTTGCTTTGGATAGGTTTTCTTTTCCTTATGAAATTATTTTGTTTAAGAAATTATAGTTTTATATTTTATAAGGTGTTCTTTAATCCTCTGCTGTTACACTATGTTTTATAAATGGTTTGAGGTAGAATAAAGTGAATAAAACCTCAAAACCTATCACTTAATAAATGCAGAAAGGCATTTATTAAAACTCAACATATATTCCTGATAAGAC